TTTTCAATTTCAAAAATTATTTTCTACTCTTGTAAAAATAAAAGATATTTCTCAAAAATATTTTTTCATTCATAAATCAAACACTAAAAATCTTTTTCGGAAAATATTTTCTACTCACCAACCAAACATGAGAAAATAAGTCAAAAATCAACTTGTTTTCCAGGAAAACATTTTCTAGGAAAACATTTTCCATGGAAAACATTTTCCTTCATACCAAACACACCCTAAGAGGAAAAAAATAACTTTTTTCATTCATAGCTACATGAAGTTTAGGGGTATGGTCTTGGGCCTTAGCCTGTACCAATGAATTGGACTGGACTTATTATTTGGGACACACTTGTTTCGTAAATGACCCTCTTTTTATTTCTCCGGCAACTTATACACCTTTTATATCGCTATACACAAATTCTTTTCACTTTTACTTGTCACTTTTAACATATTTGTTTTACCCTTAACATTAATTACTTATTTTTCAAATCATTTCCAAGACTTGATACTAAACATCAATTAATATGAATCTTGTAGGATAATACTTACATTAATCATTATTTTTTAAGGAGCATGCAAAATCCAAAGTTGACAAGTAAAAGTAAACAGAGGAAGTAGTACATCGCTTATACTTATTAACTTGTCATACTAAAAAGCCTATGCTTCATGGGCTACTATCTTACCTGGCCCAATAAAAACTAAGTTTGGACCCAATGTGATGTGCAGGCCCAAGGTCCGGCCCACTAATTATAAATTGTGTCAAAAAAGATTAAATAGGAGCGTCAAAATTAATCTTAGATGTAAAAAATATTTATCATCCTTATCAAAAATATCCGAAACAACAACAACAATTACATATTCAGTATAATTTCTATATGACAGATTTTACTGGTCTTATCTTATGAGGGTAGGGAGGTTGTCTCTAATAAAACCTCGACTCGAAAAGAGAAGGAAAAGTAGTAATAACAAGCTTACAAAAAATATCAATATCCAAATTATCATCTTTATTACAATTTAACACCAAAAACATTTGGTATCAAATTGGCCCAAGGCATTTTGGAAGCAATCATTTTTGGGAGATACATATTGAAAAGGGATATTTGGATCAATTGAATTATGGCATATATATAGGACCACAACAAACTGTACACATATATCTAAAAAACACACATGTAATTTGTGCTTTAAATTACCATGTGTGTGTCAATATGTATGTAATTTTGTATTTCTTTTCTAGTTTAACCATCCGGCATTGGCTCAATTAATTTGGATTCGTGTATCGTGGTATTCGGATCAGTTACGAATATCTCGACTAATTTCTTAGAATATACCTACTAACTCCAACCAATGCATGAATCGAGTAATTCTATCTACTAAAACTTTGATAAATGGAAGAAATCACCTTGTTTTACATGTTTTTCAATCCACTTCAATGATTTTTTTTGTTTTACGTGGGATGACCCTAAAGGACATATTCTTGGGTAGATGAGGATGATCTTAGCGTTATGTACCGAAGAATATTCCGTTCTCAAAATTGAACCCGAGACATCTGGTTATTAAGGATGGAAGAACTTATATCGTTGCACCACACTGTTCCATTCTCAAAATTGAACCCGAAACACCTGGTTATTAAGGATGGAAGAACTTATAGCGTTGCACTATACTCTTAAATTGTCAAAGCATATACGTAGTGCATTCAAATGATTACGATAGATTATTGTTTAATAATGCAATATTTTATCAAAAATACAAGTCTAGTTAGAAAATCTACGTATATTTTAATGAAGGTAGATCTCCAGCAATCACGATTCGAAATTTGTTTTCCCAATATTTGTGTTTGTGGGATGTGGAAAGAGAAGAGGAGACACGATCTGAGCATAGTAACTTTCAGAGTTACTAGATAAGCACATTGTGGGTCTACTTGCCTCCCTTTTTTGTTCTATTCTATAGTTTGAAAATTACCCTTTGTAACTTTTTATTTTGGAAAAAAAAATTTGGCCAGAAAATTTGGTCAGAATTTAGCACTTCTCTTTTCTTTTAATGTAATTAAAAAGCTTTGAGAATTACCCTAAACCATTTTCTAAAAATGTCATTTCAAATTTTACTTGTCTGAAGTATTTTGTGGAAATCTATGTTATATAGGGTGGAGTGTACCTGATCATGTCTAGATGATGAAAGTAGCAAAAATGCAGAACGTATTTAGATGGATGTGTAGACATATCAAAAGAGAAAAAATTAGAAACGAAGATACATATACAGAATAAGGTGAAATAGTAGTCTCCTTGAAAGACGAGATATGGGAAGTGACAAAGAAATATGAATGTGGTCGAGAATCAAACTACATAAATTTTTATCAACGTTTTAAATTGTATCTTTTTTCATTATATTTGATATGATGAGAAGGATTGCATCTTATAAAAAATCGTATAATTTTTAAATATCTAAATTTTAATTTTGAATGAATACTTTACCCAAGTAAATTACTTCATTAGTTGCCACAAAATGGACAACATATATGATATCAAAATATAATTAAAATGAAAGCAGTCAAAAAGCAAAGTTATTGTGGGAGACAATATTTTTAAAACAAGATTGATTAATTGGTCAGCAAGTTAATTAATCAAACCCTACTTAAGGAAATCAGAGTACACAATTATGTGTAATGTGTGAATGCTAATAAGAGATTATTGGGAATTGGAAATTGAAAATTGGGAATTGATTTTCCTAAAGTCTACATAATAAATACTCTTTTCGCCGATTCATTTTACTTGTCATATTATTCTTTTCACACCCTTTAAAAAATATTCTTCTATTTCAAAATAGTTGTCACGTTTCACTTTACGAGAATCCCTTTCATTCATTTTCAAAGCTAGATTAGCATTTTCAAGATGATGGAATGCTTTTCCTCTCAATTTTTAACTTTAACAAAATTAAGAGTACAAAAGAAAATGAACAAAAGAGAAAAAGAAAGTATCAAAAAAAGCTATTTTTGTTGTAACTTTTTTTTTTCTTTTTGGATTTTTTTGCATGGGTAAGCAGGCAAGTGGAAGGAAAAGCCATTTGAAGACTTTGTCGTAAAAAGATTCTTTTTTTCAAAAAAAAAAAGAAGAAAAAAGCTCAAAAAGAAAGAAAAATTGAAGAATATTTTAATATTTTCAACCACTAATGATTACATTAAGATATATTATCTATTAAGAATGAAAATGGTACGTAGATATTGAATTATTATGCAAAAATCAAATGTTTTGATATTGATATTATAATATTTGATATGACATTTGGCAGGAAATATTTTAATTAAAAAAATGTATTTGATAAGATATTCGATATTTAGAAAAACAATATTGTACCGAAGTATATAATTATATATACAATTTATATATATATATATTATTTTACTTCTAACAAATTTATATTTTAATATTAGTACAAACTAATTGTTTAAACGTCGAAACTTTGATTATCTTTTTTTTTATTATTATTAAAATGTCCTTTTTATTGTGTAATATAGATTAATGAAGGGAATTATTCATACTTTTTGTTGAATGTCTATACAATTTTTAATGTGTTAGTATAATATAATTAAGATATTTCTTAAAATGTTAAAGTCATAATTTTCTAATATATGATTGTTGTAAGTATAATAAATTATAGTTATCGATTTACTGAATTACAAAATATCAAAATCGAACTTACAATATATACTAAATCATACTGAATTAATTCGGTACAATAATAATAAATATTACTAAAAATTTTAATATCACAGCATGTCCACCCCTACTATTCACTCCATATATACCCTTTTAGAGTAAAATCTTTTCCTCAAGTTAAAATCAACACAAAATATTTTATACATCGAACTATCCCTTAAAATATACACATGAAAATGGATAAGTCAGAGTAGTTGAGTTAAATTACAAAGTGCCAACAATGAACATATCAAACTTTAACATATTAACAAACCAATTGAAGTCTTAACTACTTTCACAATCTAACATCCACTTCTTGTATCTAGTACCAAACTAACAATATTTTCCGCTTATCTACCAAACACAAGAATATAAAAAATAAAAAAAATAGTTATCAAGAAAACCTTTTTTTATATAAATATAAAAAAAAACATTTTCCTTCATACCGAACACATCCTATAGTACAAAATTTAGAGATCTTTACCCAAATAACCGACTAAATCCTCTAATAATTTTTCCTAATCAACATACATAGATTATACATCTATCGACTTATTTTTAATTTAAGCAGATTGAGTGAACGACTATTTAAGTTCCATTTTCACTAGATTCCTCCTTCCTCTTTCAATATTTCCAAATCTAAACAAAAATTTGAAAACCAATCATATCAAATTTTTGTTCAGACATATATAATAAGTACAAAAAAAAGACATGATGCCTTTTTCTTTTTTTTTTTGAGAATCTTTTCAAATACATGCTCATTAACCAAAGCAACCCCACAACAATACAATTTTTCACAACCATTTTCACAAGCAGCTAAAATTATGGCAGGTCAATTTGTTCATCTCAAACAGTGAAAAGACAGCAACAACTTGTGGTTGATGAACAGACTTATATGTCTCATATGTTTATAGGAACATGACAAAATCCAACCATACATTCATCAATCAGAAATAATAGTGAAGGAAGGGAAAAAAACACTTTTGAGGGTCAATTTATTCAGAATATGTCTAAAACCAAGTTTTCCATCAGTACAATTTATCAACAAAACAAAGATTAGCAGATCACCTACTTACCCCCTTTTGTACCACCACCACTACTACTACTACTACTACTAAGACTAGTACTTAGTCTACTACTACAACAACCCTTGGGTCTTTTTCCCTTTTTTTCATGATCTGTTAGAGTCAATGGTATCTGTTGTTTTAATGTCACAAGCAACTGTTATGTTACAGATCATATTAGTCTACCTTCTAAAAGACTTTACAAGTCAGAGAGTGAGGGGGAAATAGAGGTTTCACCACCCACAACACCATTTGTAAAACTAAAACTTACATGCTATTTGTTTCCTATCTTTATCTAAAGCCTAAAGATGAAACGAGGCCGATGGAACGTTGTAATTTGGAACCCCCTCTTCTATGTCCATGTCTAATGATTTACTTTCACCCATTCGTAACGTCCGGGAAGAGGCTTGTCGTTCACTGGATCAAAGTTGTACCTGCAAATGGTTACACAAAACAAGGTCATGATTAGAGATATGAGAGTGGGGGATAGAAACAACATGTATACTATGTGTGACATGTAAATCCATACTTCTCGATGAATTTTCTCTGCTGCTCCTTTTCTGCACGGGTAAAAAACTCATCCATTTCAAGATCTGTTGGGATAGTCGGTTGAATCGAGTTTGGTACTCTGCCGTTGGCCTCATTTGCATTAGTACGCCTAGTACTGGAACCAGGGGTCTGAATGTTGTCTGAATCCCTTATCAAACTGCAAGGTGTGCTCTCCCTGGTGGTCCTGTAAGGAGCAAGGAAAAACTATATAGTGCTATTCGAACGTTTTTAAGTTTCAAGATCTTAATCAATAGTAAGGTAAATTCAGAATCACCTAGGCTATACATACACAGCTCATGGCAGCAAAAAGATTCAGAGATAACTGAATAAAGGCAAATCATTTAGTGGCTGTCAAAAAGCTTTCTTGGCCTTATTGTCTTATCCATCTATAACTTCAATCATAGAGGGACCCCACGTTCATTTTTAAAGGAAAATGGCTCACAACAATCATTGCAACGTTGCAAATTTAAGGCAGAAAGGTACCAATATGCATGCATCAAGTAGTTCCAGACAAAACAACTTTTTTCACCATGAAAGTCTCAACGATCATAAATGTACTATGGAACGGCAAATCTAGAGGGTCGATCGAAAACAGTCTCTCTATCCCTCAGAAAAGGTGTATGGTCTGCATTCACCCTCCCCACTGAGTATGTTGTTGGAAAGGCAAATCTAAAGAGGTAATAGAGCCATCTGTCTTTTTTATTGTTCTTTTGTTAAGTTAGGCAGAATCATCAAAGTTCATCCAATTATCTTTACTTCATCACCAAATCAAACACAAAACAAATGTTATAGCAATACAACAAAATTAGGATGTGGTGTTAGGTGAGTATGGTGCCAAAGTGTGGAAGCTAAAAAAGGCATCGAGAACTCAAAAGTGTGCTAACTATTGAAACCGACCAACTAAACAATAGAGTTTCAATCTATTACTACAAGAAATACTTCATACAACTATCTTACTACTACCACATGGAGAGTAAACCATAACAGCATCCAACAAAATACCAAAGGCATATCTAAGACAAGTATGACGATTTCAATTCTTCAAACAACATTATGAGTAAACAAGGTACTAAATTCAATCGGAACCATATGAGGACATCAATGAACCAATCTCAAGAAACCAGCCATAAAGTTATTATTCCACCATCTAACGGTGATTCAGTAACCAAATGCAGCACCATAAAGCACCCCTATTAAAAGGGATAACCAAGTGCAGACTTTGCTTATTAAAGCTTTTCTTTTTTTGATTGATTGAGTTGGGGGGACCTTAATAAGGGATAAACCTATACTTTCTCAATAAAAATGACTATTCAATATCATGAATCTACTTTTCATATATATGCACCAAATTTCCATACTCCCAAACAAAGGAACTTTAAACAGAAGGAATGAGGAATAAAAAGCCGTGTGGAAAGTGACCTCTACAAGAAAAGCAGGCACCAAATCCAAGAATGAAAGAACCAAACCTTAAACTTGAACTAATATCAAGAACACAAATTTCCATTTGTCTGCATTTTCTTCTTTCAATCAAAATCAACGCAAAAAAAGGATAACAGAAACAAAGAAAAATCGACACACAAATAATGAATCAACAAACACCACCTTTATCCTAAAGAACCAAACCTTAAACTTGAACTAATATCAAGACCACAAATTTCCATTTGTCTGCATTTTCTTCTTGCAAGAAAAAAGACTTGAAAACCAGCCAGATAAATTTTTTCCATTCTAAACAAGAAAGACAGCCTTCTAATCAAGAAAAAAACTGGACTTTTCATAACCCAAACACCAAAAATCATACCAGAAACTTGCATTTCTGAACAATCTATAAACAAGATATATTAAAAGAGCTAATCTTTCAATCTATGTTCTTCAATTAATAGTAAAAATCAGTCATGGCAAGCAAAAACACAGAACTTAAACAGCAAAAGGGGGATTTTTTTCTAGCAGAATAACTCAAAGCACAAAGCTCTAATCTTCACAGAGTAAGACACATAACCATGCAAACTAACAAAAGATTTTCTGATAAAAGTAAAAAACCAGAAAAAAACTCACCTTTTTCTACCTTCAAATTCCAGCAATTTTTCTCCAAATGAATCTTCAGGACCCAAGCAGCTCTTCTCCTTCTCCTTCTGATTTTCCATTTCCTTAACACCCTTTCCCTCTTCAGAATTCACACAAACATTAGGGATTTGGTTAGGGTTAGGGTTTACCAAATTGGGATTTTTGGGAACACCATTTTTCTGTCTTCTCCCTTCAAGAACCGCAAAGGGTTTGACCAGCCTTCTACTCCGAAGCTCAAGATACGACCCACCATCACCGCCGTTAAGAGCTAAAGCTTTAGCCCTTGTAAGAACACCAAGAGGAGATACATCCTCTGTTTTTCTTGCCTTCCTTATGTACTTCCCCATTTGTCAGAAACTCACAAACAATCAAATCTTTCACTTCTTTTTCTGCTTTCTTATACTTAAGCTATTTCCCTGGAGATTCTTGCAGAGAAAAAAAAAAAAAAAAAAAAAAAAATT